CATCATCCAGTTATATAATGCTAGCTCCCAAACCGATATTCATTTAAAAGAGCTAGAAAACTTAGTAAATGAAGGAGCTGCTAAACAAAAACACTTCCCTTCGTCCAGAGCAGGATTAGTCCCAACGTACTTAAAAGAAACTCTTGCACAAGCTGAACAAGGATGACCACCCAGTCACCCTCTCTCAGCCCTAGGAAGCAGGCAATGGCAAAACCACTTCTGAAATCTTGCCAAGTAAACTGCAGGGACTTGTCTAAGCAGGCGCCAGGAGTCAACACTGACTCAAAGGCACCAAAAAAAAAAAAAAGGAATCATGTGTAGATTTATTTCATCCTTAAAACAACAAAATCAAGGCTCAGCTTTCATATTTTGGCAGAACCAAAAATGGTTCTTCAGTAGCTTCAAGCTTCTTCTAGGCAATCCTGGAAACCTAGCTGTGCTTGATGGATCAGATCAAAAGTCAGTCTGGTCCATCACCCTGGTATGCCTCCAGAAATCCCCAAGCAAAATAGGGTAGTGTCTTAATTTCACCTGCCCCCAAAAGGGCAAAAGAGGACACAGATTTGCTTAAAATGGGCATTTGCTAATTTATATATTCAGATGCAACTTTAGAAGGGCTGGTATCTAAACTTAAAGTTCCAGAGCATTACATTTTAAGGATTCAGACAAATCCTTCAATGAAGGCAATAAATAATGGAGCAGGCAGCTCATCTAGAAACTAGGTTCTGTTCTGAATGATTGAGGAATCTGGTTAGGATTAGCTTTGAGAAGATAACTGAGGGAAATGTGATGATATTCTTTTGTTGTGTTCATACAACACAGTTATCCTTGGTTATTTTGTTTACTGAATTAACCCACATTTTTGGGCTCGCATGTCAGGCTGAACTAACCTCTCACTTCAACTTGTTAAAGCATCTGCTTCTTCTTTTAGCTTACACATGTTGGAAACTGTTCCTGGCTCTCTTCAGACTCCCAGCCAGTCCAGGCATCAGTTGCAGATGGACAGCTTCAGCTGTCTTCTTGCCTCATGGCTCTTTATCTTTCAGCTAGCCTTGACCTTGACAGAGAGACCTGATTCCGGCAGCCTTTCAGGCAAATGAGGTTGCAATCTAACTCATCAAGATGGTAACATGTTGGGGAAAGTTGAGAGATGGAGGATGCCCTCAAATACAGGGCTTTCCTTTATCAAGGAAAATGCATGGGCCTCCATAGCAGGGTGTCAAAGCAACCAGCCCAGCAACTGGTATTCAGGGATATTTGTGTCTCTTAACACTAAGGCTACAATTAGTCATTGTGACACATGGCTACTGAAAAACTGAAATGAATTCAATAGACCTGACCTCCCCTGGTTGGGATGATAAGATCCTAACATGAGATCCTGGAAGCTCCACAGGATGGGTCCCTGAGGTCTGGCCTTCAGAAACAAAAGAGATAAAATTCAGCTGATGTATATTTCAGGGGTTGGAGAAGGCCACAAAATGTGCAAAGCAACAGTGTCTTCTTTTGCTATTGTGTTCCCTTCAGCAACATCATTCCTATTGTTAAGGATATTTAATACATCCTAGGAGCCATTAAAGAAATTAAGTGGAAAGGGAAGAGAAAAAGGAACCCTGAGCTTCATAATCTAAAAACATACATTTCCAAAGAAGTCATTTTCCAAAGGAGGAAAATATTGCCCAAACCGATATAACCCAGAAGGCTGCAGTAAAGTTAAGGAAATGAATATAGTTGGTGCAAATTGATATGGGGGTTGTCATGAAAAGCAAGGAAATAACCTGGGTGTTAGAAATCTGGGTGCCTAGAACAGAGGAAACTGGATATGTGGGTAAACAACAGGCAACAGGTAGCCCAATCATAGGATGAAATAAAGAGGTTCTCACCAGATACTGGGAAGCCCACAAAGAAACCTGAATTGGAACCTTCTAATGGGAGCAGGAAGTTGCCCAAGAGCTGACAGGAAGAAATGAAACTTAGAGTCCAGGAACTATATAAAATGTATAAAGTTTTGGATTCAGAGGAACAAATCTAGGGACTCTGACAAAAACAAGGTTTGACCCAGAGAGAGACCAAGTCTGAACAAAGTAGCTAGGGAAAAAAAGGAAGTAGTTAGCTTAGGAAAACAAGCTGAGGAAATAAAAAGGAGTCAGAAATTTAAAATGAAAAGTTAGCTGAGAGTAAAGGAAAAAGAAGGTGAGTGAGGGGAAGATTTCTCATGAGTCAGGCAGCATAAGACAAAAGAAGAGAGAGAAGGGATAATGCTGTCAAGGTGTTAGGTGAGCAAAGAAAGGTAATTCAGGCACAAAAGGGATTTAAGGGAGCTGGATAAGTGGGCAAATTTTCACTGTGAGGAGAATCAGCCCAATGTGCCTGGCTGGGACATCAGCAAGGGTACATGTGTCAAGATGGTGGCCAGAATTAAAGCCCTGCCCCTTTCTATATGCATCAGGCATGCCAGGGACAGGGCTGAGACCAAGAGAGTGAGGAATAGCTTGGTGTACGATGACTGGAAGATTGGAAGAACCAATGACCTGACAATCTGGATTTGGATCAGGGCCAGGAGGGAGGAGCACAAGAGGAATCAAGAAGGGCCAGGAGGAGGGTAAAGGAAACAAAACTTTTGCAAGTCAACTAAAATTGACTTTTGGGTGTTTTAAAGCTAATGGGTTTTGAAAAATACCCTTCCTGACTCTTGGGTAACAGAGAGCAAGAGAGGCAGAGAGATTGCATTCTCTTAGCATGCCCCTCAGGACTGATTGAGTTCCATTGCTGCTGCTCTGTAAAGTTATTCTTATATTTGTGTAAATCTTGTTGTAGATCTGTGAGACCAAGAAGAGCTCTGTTTTACTACTTGCTTTAAGCAACCATCTTTGACTCTGAGAGCAAGAAATTAAAGTGTTTGTAACTATTTATAGTGAAAAGTTAGCTGAGAGTAAAGGAAAAAGAATGTCTTGAATCTTACTGGATTTGGGCAGGTGTTCTGTGATGAGGCTAGGAATTGGATAGGAAACAGCAGGGACCCCCACTTCTGGGAGTTCCTCTTGGGGTACAGTTTCTCAAACTCAGGATTAGCCTCAGTAGAAAAAACAGGGCTGTCCAAAAAGGTACACTGATATAAAGGGCAAGGAAGAAGACACGTGAAGAAGCAATTATTCCTTCAGTTAAAACCTATTCTTTTTGTACAACAATTGTTTTTAGTCACAGATACAGGAAAATACCATTCAGCAGAAGGTTAATAAATGCATTATCAATTAGAGAGGCAGGCAAAAAGCCTATGAAGAAAAACCTGACCTACAGGAAAGCATGGCACCCCTACAGCTGAGATGACCAGCTGCCATATATAAAAACTATCTGAAACACAAAAGAATATTCAGAGCAGAACAAGCTCTTTGGAGCAGCCTTTTCCAACCCAGTGCCCTCCAGATGTGTGGGAATACCTCTTCTATTTTTAAAGAAAGTGGACCGACATGACAGTTGTCTCTCTCCCCCAAAAGACAAAACCAACATTCCTATAGTTTGCAACAGGGCAGCAAATATCTCCTCCACACAAATCCACACAGCAACATAGGCAGGGGGAGAGGAGTCTCTTTTTCTAGACTCATTTTTAAGGGTTTTCAGGAAGCCCAACAACTATCTGCAGGAGGTCCCTTGAACAACAGGCTTCTGCATGAGTCTGGGTGTTGGATTTACCCTGAGAGGTCCTTCAGAGAGCTATTTAAAGAAACTGACTTTCCCTTCAGCTTAAGGCAGATTTTTATGGAGACTGCAATGTCTTGGGGCTAGGAATCCAAATCACCCTCTGTTACCCACAATGGTGTGGGGCTGCTTTTTCAGCCCAGACCACTTCCCAAGCTGCAATTACATACAGTTGTGAACTAGGCTGCCCAATACTTGTAGGAATGTCACCGTCTGCATGCAGTTTGGGAAGAAAGCCATGGTCAGGACTACAGGGTTGCTTTCCAATAAAGAAGTATCTTTGACTGAACCCCCCCCCTCCCCCCCCCCCAATTTGCAGTATTCCTCATCCCAGCAGCACATCTCTTCACTGCTAGTGTTCTATGAGAAGGTCAGGGGTTGGTGGTCAGACTGGCAATGGGGCTCTGGTAGCTGCCTTGATCATTAACACCAGCCATTACCTTTACTATGCCAATAAAGACTAGTTTAGGACCCCTTAAACCAGCCTCACCAGAGGGTGCTATCTCATCAACAATGTTGAAATCAGATTTTTACAACCATGCTGGTCTACTTCTGTACATAATTTGGGAGAAGACTACCATCTTGCCCTACCACTCCAATAGCAAAACATCTTGGGCCCACCCTGACTGGGATATCTATGATGCTAGAATAACAACAGACCAGAAGAATTGATTCTGGTCTAGGATATCAATTATGATAGTGCTGTTCCGTAGGAAACCAAGCATAGTAAGTTCTGGAAAGCTTCCCAGAAGTGATATTCAAAGGAAGAACAGAAGTGTAGGACTACCTTGAATTGTCACCACTAGCTATTTTTATATGCGCAGTATCCTTTGAGGAGATACTTTTAATGTCTTGCAGTATCCAGTGTGGCCACAGGATGTCTCCCTGTCTTGCACAAAATATACACACAGGTCCTTTTCAATAGGTAATAAAGACAGCGCTAGGAACTGTGCAGGAAGTATTCTTACTTCAGCACAAAAAGCTTTAATTCTTTAAAAAAACCTATTTATTACACATAAATAAGGTTTAATCGGAGGAGGCTCTGCTGAGAGTTAGAGCAGCTTCCAGCAGCCTTCTCCAATCTTTGTTTTCCAAAAATGTCAGACAAGTCAGGCTCCAATCAGAATGGGAATCTTCATCCAACACATTTGGAAGGTGCTAGATTGGGGGCAGACCAATTTACAAGATCAGAATTTTTTAACAAAAAGATGTTCAGTATAAACTGAATCTATCAGTAGCAAAACTGGAGCAATTGTGCAGGCTGTTGAAAGGCGGGGAGAACAGTAAACAGAATCAGGAATAAAGACTTCAGTGTAAGATCCAATGTCATCCACTCCTTCAGGAATAAACGGCTTTCCTTCTTGAGCTGTTGCCCTTTGGATCCAGTCAAGGTAGCTGAAGACTACAGTGTAGACTGTGGGGCTTGCCTCTTGGTCACAGTTACCCCCCCAGCTTGCTATGCCAACCACAAACCATTTCATGTTGCTTCCAGAATCACAGACCAAGGGACTCCCACTCTCAACCTGGTGAAATAAAAGTACAGCTGAAATAGCCCAAACTCCTACAAGCAATGGGTTTTGAATGGTTCAAGAGAATATATTAATGGTGGACAGGCAATCAAATGCACCTTTGGCATCCTGAATGTAGGTGACCTCAGTTATGCCTCACCTGGCAAGGATCAGCTTTCTCCTCCTTTTTAATACAAATCTGTCAAAGTTTTTTATGAATTTTTACCCAAAAGAAATGAGCAGTTTTCCTCTACGTACCCCAGCCTCCATTTTAATTTCCATGTCTTATTTCTCCTGGCTTGGATTTTGGATTGTAAACACCAAAAGGCATAGATTTGCATTTTCTAATATGTATCAATAGGATGGTACTACGTAAATAATAAAAATGCTTTAAAACATAGTTTAATCCTCCAGCCACTGCCCTCCCCTTCCCTTCATACTTTTCTTTACGCTTCCAACTGCCCACCAAATAACCTTTCTATTAAAAAAAACAAAACAGATCTTCTTCTGAAACTTTTCTGTATTCTTCCTCCCCCACATAAAATACACAAGAGATTAGTCTGTTGTAGCAAAACCCTTCCTCCTATTTTTGATACTTAAAGGACTAACAAACAAATCAAAGGGCCACAAAGACATCAAAGAAGAAAGAGAAAAGAAGGGAAGGGCAAAGTAAAGAAAATAATAAAAAGCAAAGAAAATAATAACATGTCTTTTCCCCTTTTCTGCATACCCAGTCTCCAATATTACGACTTGAATTTAGTATGTCCCTGTAGAATAAGGAACAGATTTAGCTTGATACTTTCCTAAAAGATCTTCCCTAGCTGTTTGAAAGTTGAGTAACAAAACATGGACATTGGTAGCCTCAGTCTGCTGTGGAAGACATATTGGGGTCTTCTGATAGCTCAAGATGAAATTAAGTGTACCTTGCAGGTCTCCTCCATGCCTTCCTTAGAAATAGCACACAAGACATTCTCGGTCAGTCCCTGGATTTCCTTGGAACATATGTCTCTGTCTAGTAGAGTCACTTCTATCTTCGTTAATATGTTGGCTAATTTCTCATCATCTGCAGGCACAGAGGAAAGGGTGAAGGCCTAGTAGCAGTTTAGAATCAATCAGTAGTGGACAGGAATCAACCACATGGTGCTTCACCTCAGCCTCATGGCTGTGTCTATCCAGAACAAAACCACTATTCTGGAAATTCAGCAAAAAAAAGCCTGGCTGTCTGCAGGAGAGGGGTCAGCTGCTGGATCTGGAAATAGAAACTAATAAAGTTGTTGCTTTGTCAACTAGGTCAAGAGGAAAATAGCTGACTCCCTATATTTATATTAAGTCTATTCAATGTGGTATATCACCCAGCCAAAAAGGGCCATGGTACTTCTATTTCCTTCTCTGCTTGAATTGGGAAGGATTTCACCTTAGTCAAAAACATCTGGATGGTATCTGGATTGGGAAGGATTGTAGCCATTTGCTCTATGTTCTGGCAAAATAAAAATATCAATGTATTTGTTTCAGATAGATGCAGAAGATGCTGGAATAAAAATGGGGACAGAATACATTAAGGAAACATGACTATCCTGTCACCATAAACAAGAAGCAGCCCTGCCAATCTCATGGGATGATGTCAGAGAAAGCCCAGCTTTGTTCCCATGGGATGGAAAGAGATCCTGGTCTCATAAACTATGAGGGAAGGGAAGGGAGAAATAGGCATGGATGCACAACTTGAGGTGGGTCGGCAGCATGTGGCCCTGATCCCTTTTTCTATGGCCCTTGCAGATCCACAAGACTATGCTGCTGAAATTTGGCTGCCAGTAGGAGAGACTTTCCACCATTTTCTAGAGCAGTGTTCTCAACCTTGGCAACTTTAAGATGTGTGGACTTCAGCTCCCAGAATTCTACTCCCAAGCTGGCTGGGGAATTCTAAGAGTTGAAGTCCACACATCTTAAAGTTGCCAGGGTTGAGAAACACTGCTCTAGAGAAAAAATAAGTAATGCATATAAGCTATTAGATAAACTCATCTGTAGAAATCCTTGAAAATGCCTTAAAGTTAACCTCACTTTTGGGCCTGTTGAAAGTATATGTATATGTACATATATATGCACAGCTGTATCCTATAATAGTTTTCAAGTAGTTCGAGTCGAGATTTTTCTTTGTCTTCAAACTGATGTCCCACAGTCAGTGAAGAACTTAAAACTGAAAAGCAATCAGCTATTTCAGTAAGACAACAATCCAAAACATGCCTCCAAATTAATTATGAAGTACTTGCAGGAAAGAAAATAAAGGTTTTGAAAAGGCCTTTACAATCCCCAGATTACAGACTTTATAAAAATTCCCTAAGAATATTTCTGAGGTGAAAGAATTTTGCACAGAAGAGTGGGAAATGTTCCAAAAGCAAACAAGGAAGATTCTTAGCTGGCTCCAGGAAAACTTATTTTTGCCAAAGGAAGGGTCCAAACTGCACCTGCCATACACACTGTTTTCTTATTTTGAATCTGTATATAATTGCCCATAAATGATATGTATGCATTCAGACTGGTAGAAAGATGTCATTTCTTTACTTTGCACTACATAGAGATTGTGTCAGCTTGTAGCACTTAGAGATTCACAGAAACATACAGTTTGACCAGGGGTGCCTAATCATTTGCATATAACTACATGAATGTACACATACCCTTATATACAGTATACACACACATACACACACTCACATACACACATTCACACATACATATACACATTCACACATACATATACACCTTCCCCAGCCATAAAAATGGCCTGCCCTGATTAATAGCTGATTAAGGGAGCCCTGATAGGGAGCCCTTCTCTTTAATCTTGTCTGCAACCTAAGCTGGGAAGGAGAAGGGAAGTTGGTTACTGCTTTATTCCCTTCCCTTTATCTGAAACTTTGAGATCCCAAGAACCCACCAATGCCAATTGTTATCCCTCACAGTAGCAATAGCAACAATCGATGTCTAAAAGCAGGGGTGTGTCGGAAGTTTTCAAGATTTCATTTCTAGTTTGAATTCATGCAGGAGAGGGGGACTGTCCATGAAAGCATTCCATCCCCTCTTCCGGTTTTTGCTTCTGAAGGTGCTAAATCATTCACCTTCCCTGCTGCTATGGACTATATTTTTTGTAAAGACTCTTTTTACTCCTCTTCCTCTCTAGGTAGGAAACCCTTGCTTCCTAATATTCCCTCGATTTTGAAAGGAGGTAGGAGATGGCCTTGAAGAAGGAATTCAACAACCGTTATGT